CACACACACACACACACACACAAGTGTGTGTGTGTGTGTGTGTGTGTGTGTGTGTGTGACAGGTGGCTGACCCACTTGGCTCTCACACATTCCCTTCGAAGGTTTGGTCGAGTCGAGTTTCCTTCCTTCACTCAGACATGAAACTCCTCCAACACCTGAGACACCTGAGCCAATCAGAACAGACTCCGCCCCCTCTGACCTCTGCAGGTGACCTGTGGGTCAGATCCAATCAGAACAGACTCCGCCCCCTCTGACCCCTGCAGGTTGAAGTTCAGTTCTTACAGAGCAGCAGGGGTCAAAGGTCAAACCAGCTTTTATTTTGAAAGAATTATTTTTATTTGAGACGTTAAAGTGCCAGAAATAAACTGTTCAGATCAGACTCTAGGTTCTGGTTCTGGTTCTGGTTCTGGTTCTGGTCCTGTGTTGTTATAAACATGTGGTTCTGTGCAGAGTTCTGGTTCTGGATCTCTGGGCCTGCAGAGAGTCTCCTGGCAGACTGTGTCCTGGTGTGTCTGCAGCAGACCTGAGACCAGATCTTTAGTCCGTCCCAGGAGACCCAGAACCAAGCAGCCTGGTGGTTCTCTGACCCGGTGGGCTCGGCTGCAGCAGCTGGAGGTTCTGAGATGATTTAGTGCCTCCAGAAATAACCTGCTGAAAGAGGAGAGGCTCAGCTGCCCTCTGGTCCAGGTCCTGATCAGGACCTGGATCAGGACCTGGATCAGGACCTGGACCAGGACCTGCAGCGACTCCAAGCTGTGATTCTGATTAGTTTTATTTAAAACATTAAAATCTGTAATGAAGAGGTTCTTCTGTGGCCCGGTTCAGCCCGGTTTGAATGGACCTGTGACCTTTGACCCGTCCTGAGATCCTCCTCCTGCAGGACTACAGGCTCACTTCCTGTCACTGACCCGGGTTCTGTTCCAGAACCGCCTGCAGGCAGTGTTTGGTTCTGGTCTAACGGGTCCAGATGTTAGAACTGAACAGACAGCTGGAGCTTCCAAACCCAGTCAGAACCACAGCCTGAGTCTGACCCAGTCCTGGTCCAGTCAGAACCACAGCCTGGGTCTGACCCAGTCCTGGTCCAGTCAGAACCACAGCCTGAGGTCTGACCCAGTCCTGGTCCAGTCAGAACCACAGCCTGAGGTCTGACCCAGTCCTGGTCCAGTCAGAACCACAGCCTGCTCTCAGTGACTCATCAGTTTTATTTGACCTGAATCTGTTTGTTTTTCTGATCCGTCTGACTGTTTGTGGTTCTGACCCGGTCTGTTTGTGGTTCTGACCCGGTCTGTCTGGACTCTGGTTCTTGTGTCTGCAGATGTGAGGGGTCCTCCGGCCCACCGGTTCTCCTGTGGTCAGAGCCCGTACTCGGACTGCTGCAGCTGGGAGAGGAGGTTCTGCATCCTGACCGACAGCCAGCTCATCCTGCTCAACAAGAACCACGAGGTCCAAAACCCAGGGTCCAGACCCATTCAGTTCTAGTCCCGCAGAGTCCCCGAGACACCCGCTGACCTCCCTGT